GGGGGGGGGGGAGATCACGCGTTGATACATATTTATGACCCAATTTACGCGTCGATCCACGCACATCGATGGAAGAGGGGGAATGCTCTTTCTCCAACGATCTGTCGGGGTTGCCTCGTGGTTTATTTCGAAGGGGAGGGGGAAAAAAGGAAAAAAAAAAAAAGAAGGACTAAGGTTTGTTTCACCATCGGGGGAAACAGAGCGGCAAATTACTCCTCTTTCTGCTGTTTAATTCGCGCTCGTGTTTCGAGGGAGTGGAGAGAAAAAGAGGAAAAAATGGAGGGATGGATTAGAATTCGAGGAGAGGGATTTTTTCTTTTTTTTATTTTGATTTACGAGATAACGAATCGAGGATCGAAAAATATTGCAAGTATTTGTAGGTTTACGTTCGCTTAATGTGAATTAAGATCGATCCAATTACTCGTGTTTGTTAGGAATATTGCTCGTAAAAATCGAACGAACATGAGGTTGAGATACTATCTCTTAAAATTAAGACGTCTCTCTTAATCATAGTTTTAATAAACACGTGTATTATTTTTACGAGCCTCCTCGTTTTTATTCGATGATAAATTATTTCATCTTCTCGACGAATTGTTTTTAACAATTGGAGAGCGAAATGGACTTTTTTTTTTTCGTTTGAATAATGGATTCGTGATGTCTTTATTTAATGCCATTTCGGGTTATATATCTCGTCGAAAAATTTTCATGGATATATATACAAATCGAGATATAATCGGATTCTTTTTTCGGGATACGAAATTTTTATTTTATTTTCATTAATGGAATTAGATAAATTGTCGTTAATAACAGTCTCTTCGAACTTTCGCCGGGGGAAAATTAACGGATTAAATTTTAATCTCTACGAAACGAGGGGGTTGTTCCACTCGATCTGGAAATCCATTATCCTTCGTTCCCCAGCGGTATCAACAATAATTGGTTAATTAAATATACCGTATTGCGAAATTGGACGAAAAAGACGAGTTAATTATCGTTATTATTAAAACGTTTCCAGCATTGCGCTTGGTGGTATGCAAGCTTTCAACAAACGTTCGACGACAAGAGTCGATCGAATCTCTGTAATTTCTTTGTAAGGGTGGTACGCAATTTTGGAAAAATTTATATTTTTCCCCCGAAATTACCAGAACATATAATTGAAAGAAGGGTTCTTCACGTTTTACATCACATTTTATTAATATCTCGCGTGGAGACACGTGGAACGATAATTCTAGACGATTCGAATTAAAAATATCGCCCGAATATATTTTTCCAAAAGGTAAATTTAATCTCCATCCGGTGTTTGCGTAGAAAGTCTCGTTATCTTGTCGAATCGAATGACGATGTCGTCTCTTCCTTCCACCAAAATTTATTTAAAATAATAAAATATTTGCTATAAGTTATAGCTTCCATATTGATTCCAAACGTAACTCGAATCTACCTAAAATTTTACAATTTCAGAAAAGAAAAA